TTTACGTCATTGCACTTTGAAAACACATCTATCCATGATATTTTATTTAGGTCCAAGATTATGTTGTCGTAGTCAGCTTTAAAGAAATTGTACCTATCGTTGTAAATCTCCTTTACTACTTGTTTTTTGTTAGAAACTAATGTAATACTTAAAGGTGGATGGTGACTATCCACAGTACTAATAGGATTACTGGCTTCTTTAATTACGAGTTCAGTTGTATTACACAAAATGAGATCCAAGGTACGATGGTTAGAGTTGACAATGCAGTTAAACTGGTTAAGGTCGTTCTCTGCAATAAAATCAACAAACATCGCATCGAGTGAACTGCTAGGAATACCATTGGGTTTCAAATACGATAATCCAGGTTGTTGGGACCACGCAAGGTTACAAAGATTGAAGTCACCTGCCAGTAGTATATGTTCATTTTCATTCATGACTAGATTCGCATGAGTAATAAAATCTTCTAATTTTTCTTTGGCGACAGGGGGTGGAAGATATACCGCACAGATTGCTACATGCGAAGGTATACCCGAAATTTTAACATCAACTGTCACCCATAAATCTTCACAACTACTATCCCAAACAGTCATACGGTGCGATACTATATCATTACTAACTGCTATTAGAACTCCACCCCCGTTCTTTCCTTCTCTATCTCTCCTATAAACGGTGTATCGACTATCGAAAATCTCTCCATCGAAAATGCTATTGTTCAGCCAACTTTCAGTAAAAATGTAAACATCATAATTGTTATTCAATATATTAAATTTGACTTCCCGACATTTACTGCGCAGACCTCTAACATTCTGATAGTAAATTTTTAAGTAGTTCATAATTAATTTTAAACAGATAAAATATACGGTTACAATTAAGGTAGATAGAAAAAAAAAAATTGAATGAAAATTTTATCAATACAAATAATTGCAAAATTCTTAAACGCTAGTTCAGCGACTTTAACTGGTTAGCTTCACGGATAGTTATATGCTCTGACGTCTCCGATTTTCTCATGAATATGCGACTATTTTTAACCCACACGAATTTATAATTCAGTTTTTTTGCAGCTTCTCTGGTCTGGGCGTGTAATTTTTTTACTTCAGGAGCGAGGTGTTCCACCACATAAATTGAACTTTTTACACCTCCATAGCCAATATGGCTGGTGTTCAATTTGTCATTGCGGTTCTTCTTGTTAAACTGGATTACACTTGCGAGAAAAGCGTCTCGACTCCTAGGACTCGCAAAAGTAACAACTACAGAACGCGGGCGTTTGCTTTCTGGATTCATTTTAGCAATCCTTGTACACTTGTTTATGTCAGTCTCGGTGAGATTATTACCAACCACTTTGGCGATTTGGTTTACGACGTTTATCAAGTTTTCTGCTTTATGCTCCGGTATGCATTGAATTTCTAAGTTGCTTCTTCGGGAGTACTGCTCGAAAGTAGTTAGACGATTACCTAAATCTGTTACTGTAGTTTTTAAACTTTCGTTTTCCTTTTTTAGGTTCTCACATTCAGTTTTTAAGTGGGTAATTGATTCCTTCATATCATTGAATTCCTTAAATATTTCTTTATATTTTTCTTCAATTGCTTTGGTCATTCTCATCTCCATATTGCCTAAAAGGCCATCCATCGTTTCTTGCATCACAGCCTTTACATTCTCCAACGTTAGGCTGTCAGCAGATTTAGCGGGCATATCGTTTTTATTACGTCGCAAGGTAACATTTGATGAGGTACCATCTTGGTCGGCATCGAAGCCGACAGTCCGTGCCATGGAGATAGGACCATCAGCTTTCGACGGCTTAGAACGACATGCTGGGCAGACCCAGGAGTTTTTGTATTCTGACGAAGCACTTTTGAATTTTTTAGCTGTCGTACTAACACATTCAAAGTGATATTTTGAGGTACAGGTATTACATTTGAGTTGCTCCGGAGTAGACATCTCACGCGCACACCCAGCGCATTTCCTAGTATTTTGTACCTTGGTACTCATTTTAGAACACAAAACTTCTAGTAAAAAATATGACCTTCGTCCGTGAGCTCACAGATAACACCTCATAAAATGAAATTGTTTTGACGAGACGCTGGCACACAACTACCGCTTAATATCCGTCAAGAGAAATTACTCATATTTTAGTCGCAAGCGCTTCCATATAAATATTCAATAACAAAATAAGCAAATACAGGGTACTTAGTACAATATATAATTGTAACTGCTGTAATATAATAACCCAAAAAGTATAAGCTAATTTTATTTTCAAACTCAGTATAGATCATAAATATCGTGTGAATTTCGGGTATATCACTAAATGATCAGCGTAGTTATAAAACATAAAACTTATCACAACATTTGTTTATAGATAACGCTTTATTCCTTTATTTCTTATAACGCACAGAACACTATTACTAAGACTATGATGACTTAATTTTAAGTAATTTGATGCTCATTTGCCTTACTTAAAACAAATAAACTTATAGTGACATTGATAAACCTCCTAAGTTTCATATAGAAAAGAGCATACCATTTCTTTAAAGGCCGGCAATGCATCTGCAGCTCCTCTGGTGTTGGATATATCCATGGGTGCTATTGATCACCTTGTAGTACCCAACGTTCATTTGCCCCTTTCTCTTATAAAAATCATACAAAAATGTCAAATACATTCAAAATGACCGAAACCTTGTTCATGTAATATGTTTTATTGTATACCCTCTCATTTTTATTCTTTATTACCTTAGTACTTAATGTATGAACAATGTCATTTATTATTTTCATTTTCTTTGTTCATTCATAACAAACAAATTGTATAAATATAAAATTTATTTAACTAAAACATTCAGTTTTAACAGTGGTAGAGCCCGCTTTAACATCTTCGCACGAATCGGCCCGGCTCGCCCAGTGAAATACCACGACCACACAGAAGACAGGCGTCAAGTGGAAGCAATTCCGCGTTTCGTCTGATGCTTTAACTCTGTTTATATTGAATTTTTGCATTCATCCGTAAATATCATTGGGTATATGGGTCGAGTACATATATTGAATGGAAATCTAATTTGCGATTGATTTCCCTTTTTACGGACATTTTAAAACATCAACCAATATTTGCAATAAAAATTGAGTAATATATATTCATATGTTTTATAGTACTGAGTTATTTTATGTGCATTTAACGTAAGGTCAAAACCTTGGGAAGGATTAGTATAACAATATTGTGTTTTAATATGAATAGCTACAATTATTAACACGGTTATTCATAAGTTAAGAATGTTCACAAGGATTTGTTTATCAACTATAGTGTAATAGAAGCTATGGAATAATCTATATTATTTTGATCCATTACGAGAATACGTTGTCTTTGCACAAGGAACTAAAAGAAAGTTCTAAACCTTGTACTCTAATAATGTTCGAAAAATTTCGATGACCATTTTCCTAAGCTCAATCGATGTATTTCGTCTACCTGCCTAATAGTGAGAACATCACCACATATGTTAAAAACATTATTTCAAAGTGACTTTAAGTATGAATAACTCAAATAACCATGAGGGGAAGAAACATATGTCTATTTGACGCGCTATGCCTCTAATACAATCGATATACTTACGTTCTGGTTGCCTGCTGGTATTGGCTCTTTGGAATGTGATATATTAATCACAAATGCCTTGTTTACCTAATATGAACTTTTTATGACAAGTGATTGATTCATACTTTGTTATGAAATCATTGTATGAAATATTTGTCTATGGTTAAATATCTGGCAACACAGTATGACCGGTTTTACTAAAGGCACTAGGATCTATTGATCTGATTCCAAATAATATTCGATGGTAACTTGCTAAGTTTTTGAATAAGATACGTTTATAATCTCTGTAAAATAAATCTGTTCGTCTGTATGTCTGTCCGCAAGGC